TTTTCAGGACGTACGATGCGCAGATGCGATAAAATTCAATTGTCACCCAAGCGACTTTGGGGAATGATGTTTTATTTATTATTATAGTACAGTCGGTAATTATAATAATTGTTTATCAATCAATCTACCCACGTTCCCTCCCTCGCCATTCACATGCAAAAGTTACTTTTTTTAAATAAATAATTAATAATTGCCTCACTTATTCACGAGTCCAGTGTTTTTTGTTTGTTTGTTTTTGTTTTTTTTTTTTTTTTTCGTAACTTTGCATAAGAATATTATTACTTCACTACTCAATAACTTTAATTTATCAATCACGACGACTATGTATTCTAATGAGCCTAACTCTGTGTTAATCTGTGACTTACGTCCTCCCCATTCTCAAATCGCGTCTACCACGACTTAAGCCATCGCGACTACTTTCTTTATTACTTATTTCCAAAGTACATGTACCGGGAGGGCCAATAAAATTGGTCGTTTCACATTGCCGTCTCGTTTTTCCGCATAGTGCATCGCTCCGTAGGTGCGTGCCCCATACCTGTACATTATCGGTACGTTAGAAAAAGTTGGCCGTTACCTCGTTCCTTCGATTTTTGGCGAATCTAGATATCAAAACACAAAGCAAAGAATTAGAAAAAGTAAGCAGAAAAAGTACGTTGGCGCTAATAAAAGATAGCGAGACCTTCGAGGCAAAGCTCACATACTCATCGCTTTTTCTCCTTATTACTTCTCCTCCTTCCTTTTCTCCTTCCTCCTCGATAATTTCGCACGCGTTTGTCTACGTAGTCCCTTCCCGATCAAAAAAGAAAGAAAACCTTAAAAGACTCGAAAGTCGTTGTATCAGAGCTCTATCACTGTATCATTGGCCACATAGTTCGAAAGTAAAGAAAAAAGTGGGAAAGTGACGGTTAGGCATCTCATCTCTTTTAGGAAAAGGGCGCAGCTGGGTACAAAAAGTTATAACGTTCTTTTCTCGATTGCGCTTCTCTTGGCGCTCTATTGCCGAGTTTAGGGCACAGACAGACGTATATAACGAATGACGTCAAAGGGTGTGCACGCCAATGGTGAGAATAGCAAAACTAGAAGAAATCACCTCAAAAAGTGCTTAAAAGATTCGACCCCTTCCATACCATCATTACGATTTTCTCTTTTTCTTTTTTATTTAATCTGCTTTATGTTTTTTTTTTTTTTTTTTTTTTTTTTTTTTTTTCGTTTTGTTTTTGCTTGATTTTATCCTTGATGTCGCGCTGCCTCTCGTGTGAAATTCAATATTTTTGACGCACTGGAAATTGCTAAAAATTCTCCGATTCGTCATCGTAGTAAAATGTACGTATTAAGAAGTGAAAATATATAAATAAACGTAGCTCTATGGGGCTGTAATTGGTTGAGAAATAAGATCATATTGTCATACCTAGATTCTAATGAATAATCAATCTAATTTACTGAATCGAATGCAATATGAATAATGCATTAAGTAAACAATAGATAAAACACCATACGGCTTCGAATAGCTTGATTTCCCCATACTGATAGGTCTGATTAATAACCTCTAGTATATTTATTATTATTATAGCTATAAACATTAATTATTCGTTTAATAATTGAATTGTATTTTAACAACATAATTATATTTATCTTTAATAAGAATAGAAATTTTTTTTTTTAATGTATATTTAACGGTAAACAATAATTTATAATTTGATTGGTTTGAACAGTTGACATAGAGAATAGAGAAATTTAGGTCGTCATAGTTGATCTAAGTAAATTTTTTAAATCACTATTCTTCATTAAATATACTTCGTATAATGTGTGCATCTATCTTCTTTTCCCATTGCCTCCGTTTGCCTTGCACAGAATCCTAAAAAGATGTATACACTTTTCTACCTGACCCACAACGTAGCTTTTTTACGATTTCGGGGGAATCTGCATTCAGGTATGCCGCACTTTATACGGAAAAAAGGTGGAGTTCTGTCTGTACTGTACGCCAGCTACGATAGAGAGAGAGAGAGAGAGAGAGAGAGAGAGATGGTAGACAATGTAGAAGTAGGAGGGAGAGCTTGAACTGAATCGAAACGAAACATAGAGACTTTTAGCCCCAAAATTTCTTCTGGCCCAGAGATTCACCGGATTGTCGGAAATTTTTTATTTCCCCCCCATTTTTTTCTCATTTTTTCATTCGATCGTTTCTTTCATAGATTTCCATCCCCCTGCACCTATCGAGAGTTACCTGTACGAAGCGCAACAATTTTTATAGAGGCATCGCTCACTTTTTAGCATTCTTTCACCCCAAAACATCGATTGCATGGGAACGCGGATCATCTTGTCATGCGAAAATCTAGGTGATCGCGTTTTTTACGGTTTTTTTTCTTTTTTATTATTGTACTCGTACGCCTCGCGGCAGAACTGACCCTTCCGCAGAAAAGGTCGCATTCCATCTATCTTCCATTTTCCCACAGCCAGGGAGCGTCAGCTCTTTTATCCGTCGTTTTTTGGAAATTAAAAAGCGGCGGCCATACCTCGGAGTGTTACATTATAAAATTTCTTGTGGAACTGATTACCCACCTTTCTTTCGCAAAGACTGTGAATATTCGATGCTTGGCTTTTTTGTTTAATGTAATGATGGCACTCGATACAGTTCTCACATTACTTTTTTTTTTTTTTTTAGAAATACTTGTGGAAAATCTATAATAATTTGATAATTATAATATACGATTATGGAATTTAATTTCAGTTAAAAGTGTTCAATATAGAGTCTAAGTTGGATATTATATTCGAGGAAATAGCTAAACATGTACATTTTCTAATGTACATTTTATCCATAAGTTTGGTTTTTTTTATTTTAAAAAAAATATATTCTATATGTATTATTTTCTTTTCTAAGGTACTTAAAAAAACTTCGGAAAAAAAAACAGAAAAAGAAACAAGCAAACAAACAAACAAAAAACTAAGATTATCTCAGCTGTGAAAAGGATATTTCATTTTTTTTTTGGAGAAAAAAGTTAATTTAATAGATAAATCGAACATTTAATTAAATATAAATAATGACTTGGTCGATGATAAAATGAGCTCTAGTCGAAGGCTATAATTGTTACTTAAATTACCAGAACGACAGCTCTGTATATCGCTTTCTCTGTATTCTCCGTATTCGATCACGATATTTAAAAACAATGATAATATCAACGGAAGGACAACGATGCAAGGATATTGAATAAGAAAAAAGAAAGAAAGAAAGAAAGAAAAGAAAAGAAACAAAAAGAAAAGGGCCTATAAATCGTCGTGCCGCGGCATATCGAAGTAATAGTCGTAATGGAAATCGTTATTCTTCCATTCCAAGATTCGTCGTTCACCATTTGATTTTACAGAATCGGCCGTAGAGTTATAGCGAGACCATAAGCTAACGGACGACATCCTGCTGGAGCAAAAATGGTACAAGCATAGTGTGGCCTAAGCATTAAATCATAGAAAAAGGGATTAGAGTAAAAAACGGTCGCGAATTCGCTTAAAAATTCCGGTGAAGCGGAGAGAGAGAGAGAGAGAGAGAGAGAGAGAGAGAGAGAGAGAGAGAGATAGAAAAGGGTTGCACATAATGCGAGGGAGGGCGTCATAAGATAGAATGATGAATACATATGCTCGCGTTGCCGGAGGTAGGGGTCCGCGTAGGTAAAGGGGTTTTTTGTGGTCGCTGCGCGCGGCTGAGCTTGGCCAATGAGAGCGAGGCCCGTCGGCTACCTCCGACCAATGGCTGGCCCCGGCCGGCGACTCTCCGAGTGGGGGTAGTTCTCGCCCTTAGGGCCGTCGCGGCGCCGTTGCGTCACAGCAGCACTGACACTCGCTCGGCGTTGGGCCGCGCATCAGTAGGACGACGCGGCCGAGAGCACGCGAGATTGCGTCGAGAGACTACGTCGTCGAGGGTCACCCGTATAATCGACTGGCGAATATTCATGAGCGCTGCTCGGACCATCTCGGCGAGCTTCCGCTTGGAGTTGAAGTCCGTGGGCGTCACGGCCTGGATCTACGAATTAAGTGTTTCGATGTGGTGTCGGTGAAGAGTGTCGAGGAGTCGCTGGGGTGCCAAGGGAAGATGGTCTTCTTGGAGGAGCCAAGGATGATCTTTACGGACATGAGGCTCGATGCTACCAGCACGCCGACAAGCAGACCCACAAGCTATCGCGGCCATCATCGGAAATACCGGCCGCAGAATAACAATGACTGTACGTCATAAGTTTCCGTCTTTTATTCCTTCATTCCTTATTAATTGAGATCGTTGATTAGAAGTAAGGATGGTTCGTAGCCGAGTTTTCTCAAATCTCGTCGATTGCACAGTGCTCGTATATTCCAAGATTATCTTTATTTTATGATCCTAATAGTTGTCATCGTGTTTGCGGCGATATTTTAACAGAGATTTTTCAAATATTGTTTTCTCTCAACATTTAATTAAGCTTGAAAATTATATCTCCAATGTATTTGTTAAATTATTTTGCGAGACGACGCTTGCTTTGAAGTTTACAGCAAATATTGTATTTAGCAAGTAATTAAAACAACAACAAAAATAAAGCTGACAAAGTTCAATTTTAGTTAGCAATCTGTAATGAATCCGTATGGTAAAAGAAAAAAAGAATAGACCAACATTCACTACACGAAAGATGAAAATATTAAAAAAAAAAAAACTAAAACGTTATTAATGAAAATTGACAATAATAATGCTTAGAAAAATATTATTTATAATTGGCTATATGGCACGATGCAATATTTATTATCTTATAATATAGAAATTGGTATTTCCTGCTAAAGGAATGAAAAAGACACGGTTTAAGCTTACTTTTAATAATCCAATATATATATATATATATTAATAAAACTTGATATAAAATATCTCTATACAGACATGTACGGGATAAACGCGCGCACAAAAACACACGAAACATCTATAAAAATAAAATTATTCTGATTTTTGAACGGAAAGGATCAGCTATTGAGAGAGGGGACATAATTTTTGTTTACAGATGCCGATTTACATGGCGAAGTGGATGGTGCCGATCTCAGCGGTGACGACCGGAGCATCGCGAGTGACGTGCAAGATGGAAACGAGCCCCACTTGGATCACGACTCAATCGACTCCGATAGAGAAGCTCTCAACCTGGTAAGTAAGGGAAATTCACGTAAGCGCACCCACGCTCGATCGTCAATACGATATCCGATACTGATAACGCTAGCACGCGACAACTCACAATAGAATAGGAGGGAAAGGTGAAAAAGGGCTCGGTGAGATGTGATTGGTTGGTTTAGAAAGGGAGACGGGGGCTTGATTTCTACGCGGGCGAGATAATCGAAGTGACTTTGGGGTCGAGCCCGCGGTCGGACGTATTGGGAGTGCGCGGGCCGGTGCTCACCGACTGAGTAGTGGACGGGGCAGGTGGTCGGAAGCCCCGCACGAGAATTAGGCCCAGCTAATTACGGCCCAACAGGTGACGACATCGAGAGCGTCGGTCGAGTCCACGCCGCGAGAAATTACGCACGGGGAGATGGCTATCGATGAGCGCGCGCGCGCAACCGGACTTCCCACGATTTCGTCAGGATTATGGATGATCGCCCCCGCGCGCGCTGTCACAGTCGTTTCGACGCCAATCGCTTCCTTTGAGATCACCGCGCCGTGCCGAGGTATTAGGAACTCGGACCAAGGTCGGGTCATCGACTCGCTTATCTCGGCCCGATGTGCCCAAGGGCTGGCCGGCTCGCTCTTTCGACCTGCGAGGAAAAGCATAGGCGCGCACACCTTGGCGACGGCCAAAGATCGCGGCAGGTAAGCTCGATGTAGCACAATACCTGACTGTAATCCGAACTCTCCATTACTCGTGTAATTTCAAATAAGTACGAACGCCGGCATTTTGCAAACAATTAATACACAACTTAATATGCTAATGAATTTCCGTTATTATTATTTACCTTCTTCTAAATCCTCCTACATAATTCTCTTATGACCAAGGTCGATCCAGTGATATAAAAGTTTCGAACCGTATATTTATCCATCGGAAATGACCATCTGCCAGGTAAAAAAAAGAAAAAAGAAAGAAAAAAAAATGGATCCACGGTCTTTGCCTTTACCGAAAGACAGAAGGAGGATTTTTAAGTAGAATAAAAAGAGAGGACAGTAGCGTTCGGCTTATATATATATATATATATATATATATATATATATATAAAGAGGAGGGAAAAAAAAATATAGAAATTCAATATTTGAGGAATAAATAAGAGTGCGTAGGCCGTGTAAAGAATAAGCGGCCGGGAAGAAGGAAATAGCGCGACGTAGCGCGGGGACATTTTACAAAGCACAAAAGCGCAGGAGGTACCAAAGTGACCAATATCCTGGCCTAGCGGAGTGTAAACAGACCCTTTGTTCAACGGCATTTACCCTACACGCGAAATATATTAAGGGAGGGTGGAACGCTCTGATTTCCCATCGACATTTTCGATTCTGTTATAAATGTATTCGGCCACGGTAAAATTACGTCCTGCGTTACAAAAGACGAGAAAAGCGTCTTCCCAACGCGGAATTATTACTATTAGCCAATAACGCTTAAGACGCGCGTAATCTAATGAGTTCCGAAAACATGTTTTAAAGCCGCGTAATGTGATTACCTAAAGTTCAGTATTAAGGCTCGTATAAGCGATTAAATCTTCGATTGTCATCGTCAAATTATGCACAAATTCACATTAAATATACCGATCTATTATAAGATTCTTGGGCATTTTGTTTTACATGCTCGTTTGAAAAAATTCAATGCCAAAAGTACGTGAAATTATTTGTAAATTAGAAATTTCAAAATTCTCAACAATTAAAATATAATATTTTTCGTCTTAAATCGCTATTTTTAACCGTCCGATCTTCCGTCAAGTAGTAAATTTGAATTTTCCAACAATACGCTCTTTATCAACTAATTAATTCCTATATTCTTTCTTACAATGATTTTAATGGTTATGTATATTTTAATAATTATGTGTGAACTTTGTAAAAATGTGTGCATAATCTTAATGATTATGTGCTACTTCAAACGACGAATGAGTTTAACAAAATGATTGTGAAACTTTTTTCTTTTTTTTCTTCTGTTTATAAATCCTACTGGAAATGACATCCAAATATGGCTGTGCTATAGAAAATTTTTACATGCATGTATTCACTAATTTTTCATAATTTCTTCTCAAATGAGTACGCTTACATGGATAAGATAACATTTCGTACAATGAAAAGTGAGAAATTCATATGCTCAACGTACTGCACATTAATGATAATATCTTTATTTTCGTAATTATTGTTATAAATATAAAAGAGCATTAATTAATCATACGCTAACAATAATTATTAATCGTCTACGTACTAAGCGACAGAGATGGGTGAGAAAGAGAGAGAGAGAGAGAGAGAGAGAGAGTTGATCGGCACGATTAATTGTTACGTAGATTATTATAATCATATAAGTCTATTTCAGAATACAGAAATATTATATTTAAAATTAGAAAAAATTTATAAGGACATTTTCTGCAAAGCTTCAAGCTTACACATTCAATTACAGCATTGAAACCTCATAAGTTACTTTACATATCTGTGTACTTTACTACGTGTGTATTCATCGTTTACAAATTCCAAGTGCGACTGACACTTGTCCAGCTCGTATTTTTACATTTCTCTCTTCAACATTAATATGTGGAAATAATTTCTAATTAATCCGTAAATACTGTGAATTGAAAGGCTACGTGCATCAAAAACTAAAAAAAAAAAAAAAAAAAAAAAAAAAAAAGAATGAAAAGAAAAAAAAAGAAAATATTTGATATCTGGCCAATGCTTTCAAGCAGACTGAATGAATGAATCATTGCTCCGTGAAGCAAAATCGAATAAATAATTGAGCGGTCCGGTTGTACGAGGCTTACTTTAAAAAAAAAAAAAAAGAAAAAGAAAAGAAAAGCACAACAAAAGTCTTGGGCCGCTTTTAGAACAAAAATGTCCACGCGAGAAAAAGTTGAGCAACAACGTATGAAAGAAAGCAATGAAGTGGCACGTTCTGCCGTAGGTAACGGACGTCTCGCAGCGCAACAGCAGCAGCGGCACCAGCGGCAGCGCCTCCTCCCCGAGCTCCGGGGTGAGCAGTCAGCTGACCGGGAGCCACGCCGGCAATACGAGCAGCTCGCAGGCGGCCCTCGCTGCCCAGCTCGTAGGCCAGCAGCTCCTCATGCACGGCTCCCTCGGGGCCCTCAGTCCCCAGGAGATTCAAGCGCTGGCCTCCACCCTACAGCAGCAGCAGCAGTCGCTCCAGCAGCAGCTCCAGCAATTCGCCATGTTCCAGCAGGCGAACCCGACTGCGGCTGGACAACTCCCGGCCCAGGCTCAGTTTTTCCTTCAGAATCAGGTAGGCTTGCCGAAGAGTGCTTCTTTCCTCACGTCGAGGCGAAACGCACGAGATTCCCTTCTCCACCCGAGCTCCCATCTACCATAATTCATTTACTATTTATCGAAAGCTCTTATATATATATATATATATATATACATTCTTACAATAGAATACAATAATTCTTTTTTCTTATCATTACTATTATGCAGCTTTGATGCTGATATATCCCTTCTCGGGGTGTTGCTTTTCCCGATACACAAATATAGGCGATTACCGTTTTATATTGGAAAAGTGAGCCTCGCACCTTGGTAAAACGGATTTTCATCACATGCTCATCCACGAACCATGTCCCTATATCAATGTTATCGGGAAACATGTAATTTAATAGTGGCAGTGCAATTAATAATTTCATTGGAAATAATAGCGATAGCGTTAGAATTGAAAAGTACAAGTTTTTTAGGTTCATACGGTAATTGGTAATTCGTTGTAACGGGGTTGCATTTAACTTTTAATGGGTCGGATAAACATTGTTAAATGTCTATGGAGTCTTATTCGGTGTTAAAAATTGCATCTATACAACTCATTGATTTCATATATTTATAAATGTTGAGAAAAAATTTTAATCGTAGTTTATGATTTTTTAAATCCTAAATTATATCTTTCGACAAGTTTTATGTTAAGGATTCTGTATCAAAATTGATAAAACATTGTGGCTATAATTGTGAATGCAAAATAGATCGACAAATACTTGTGATTCGAGAATATTTAATAATAAATAATTACTGATTTAAATACAATTAACAATATAATTATATTTGAAATTTAATAATACTGTGTCTATGAAATCACACCTTTAAACATTTTGAAAACTCGAGATTCCATAACATATCGATCGAGTCTCCATAAAAAAATTTTTATTTGAAGTACTGATAATATAAATTATTATTATATTATAAATTATTATTTTTTTTATTTATTTATTTATCTACTTTTTTTTTAACAATAATATCAAGAAGGTCAGCTTATTGTAGAGGAAAAAAAGCGACTCCTGGGCTTCTTAATCATTTAACGCTGTCATGATTATTTTTATTTACGTTCATTAGTTCATTTTTCCTTCCTTGTGTTGCGAGGCCCATCAATACGTATTACGCATTCAAAAGAATTTTCCTTTCTTCTCCGCGACTCACTTTTCCACGGCGCGATCGCTTCTCGGACCAAGAAGTCGGCTTAAACGTATGCCAGTCAGGCGATTCATCAAATATCTTCAATTATCGATCTTCCTCGCTCACCGGCACCTAAAAAGAAGAAGAGCTCTTAAAAAAAAAAAAAAAAAAAAAAAAAAAACAAAAAAA